CTAGTTGACATTACGTAGAAGAAATAATCCGACGACGGAATCTATAAACAGTAAGTAAATACTTAAATATATAATAAATATATAATGTAGATAAATATATAATAAATATATAATGTAGAATGACATAAAAGAAGTATTTAGAATGTTATCCAAACAGCACAAAATATCCGAAAAGCATCCTGGAAAGGCTCTTGGACGTTTTTTCGGAGGGATTTGTTGTATGGGTATCCAACACAAAACAGTTTTTAAAAGAAATAGGATTGTTCAACAAAACATAAAATGCTATAAGTGCGAAAACATGACCATAAATTGATCTATGTTATTTAATCCAGCCATGTTGTCCGTCATCTTACACTGCTCTAACTTGCTCTTACCCGTTCTTTTCAGACCCATATGTATCTTTGCACTGGTCTGCACTATCTTGAACTTTCTTCAACTAGTACAGTTCCAGTGCAGCCCTAGGTCAGGTCGAAAGAACAAACCTTCTACCTCCAGACCTAGGGCAGTCAGTTCACTGAACTCGCTGCACTAGTTCAGCCTGCACTGTTCGAAAGAACACATTTTCTTGCACTATTCTGATCGAAAGAACGCATTAGTGCAAACTTCGTGAACTAGTGCAGCCAGTTCAGGTCGAAAGAACAAACCTTTAGTATTCCAATTTTTTCATTAGAATAAACCAAAACTAAATTTTTGAGTAAAGAATATTTTGAATAAAAAATTTTTTTTGGTAGAACTATTTATTATTACTCAAATAGCACAAGACAATCCTATGAATATTTTAAGAATATTCTTCAAGAATATTTGGAATATTCCATAGGACATTTGTATATATTCATGGTGTATTCGTAGAACATTTGAATGGCACCAATTTAAATTTCTCAGAATGGGTGCTTTCCAGTTGCGTACACTGTGTTACACAAAACAAGTTTATTGGTTGCATATTCCCAGGTAGCATACACACATTTTAAAAATGTTTTATAAACGTTAGAATCAAACTTTTTATAACCGTTTCCAAAACGTTTCATAACATTTCTGAAACGTTTTTCATGAGTAAAAATGTCTACTCAAAAAACGTTAAGTGAAACGTTATTTTTGCGAAAAAAATTGTTGAAGAAACGTTTTATAAACGATTAAAACGTTTCTTATTGGTGCTTTACGGTTCTGAAACTATAGATACTTTTAAGAAACGTTTCTGATATGTGTATGTGCTACCTGGGTTATCTTACAAGATATTTTAGATAATATGTAACCAATAAACTGGTTTTGTGTACGTGTGTGTCAATATGTGTTAAGCAATTGGAAAGCATCCAAAGTGAATAGAATGGGAGCGGTGCACTTGGACACGGTGCATTTGGACACAGCCAATCACAGCACCGTGTGATTAGAGACATTTGTAGGATCCCTTGGAACAGCGACTTGTGATTGGACTGTGTCCAATTGCCCCGTGTCCAACTGATATACACCCGAATAGAATAATCTACCGAATATTCTATATATTAAGTTATGAATGTTTATAGAAGATTCAAAAAGAATATATATATATATATATATATATATTCTTTTTGAATCTTCTATAAACATTCATAACTTAATATATAGAATATTCGGTAGATTATTCTATTCGGGTGTATATCAGTTGGACACGGGGCAATTGGACACAGTCCAATCACAAGTCGCTGTTCCAAGGGATCCTACAAATGTCTCTAATATATATATATATATATATATATATATGAACAGAACGTTTATATTTATAAAAATATAAACATTTATCTCTTTATTGTTTTCCACTTTATTGTTTCATATGCTACTTAATTCAATTTAAATTGTACTTCGAAAATTTGTTTATCATGCTGGGATGCGAACCTAAAACCTCTGCTTCTTGGGTCGTTCACTTATATGGAGGGGGAATTGCATATGCCTCCTGTATACCAAAAGTGTGTCCAAAATATACGAGAAAGAAAGATATATATTCCTATTCACCCTCTGTACACTCAGAGGCAGGTATGGTGTCCCTCTGCGGGCCCGTATACGCCTGTCAAATAGTCGAAAGCGACAACAGGCATATATGGAGGACGTACAGTACGTCTTACGTACAACGCGAGAGAAGCGAAGAAGACACGTAGGAGAAGTGGTGGGAGACATTTCGATGTTGCATCCTTTTCGCACGTCGTCCGATCGAGAAAGGAAACATCAGCAGACGTTATAGTTGTTAGTGGTGTCCTCAATAGCTGTCTCACTCACTCAACGCTTGAATGCAGAGAATATGAGCGAGACAGCAATAGGGACACTGCGCTGTCTCTATAGGTGTTTCGCTCGCTCTAGTATCCATGTATCACGCTTTTCTCTTTTCTCCTTAAAGCCCGTATCAGACTACCGACTTCACAAGCCAACCCGACTGCCGACTACGACTGCCGACTCTCAATAGACCAATCACAGTGAGGCGCCGACTCCGCACCTCACTGTGATTGGTCCATTTAGAGTCGGCAGTCGTAGTCGACAGTCGGGTCGGCCTGTGCAGTTGGTAGTCTGATACGGGTTTAACAGAAATGCACGTTGTGCCGATGAATGACACCGAACGACAAAATTTAACTTTTTTGTTGTACGAATGTGAATAGTCATTTCCTATGTATTTTTGCCCGCTAAGCACAAATCCTTAATCAAAATTTGGTTACCGCGTTACATTTTTGAAAAAAATACATCGGAAATGATAGACATATTTCGTCATTATAAGGTTATTAAGATACGTCCGCATGTAATATTAAGATATTAAGATCTTTACAAAAAATGAATTTTTCCGGCATATGAAAAAATCATCTGATGCTATAAACATTTCAGTAATATTGCCGCATATTCTGATGTCAATGGTAATGTACAAAAACATTTCACAATTTGACATATATGGAATGGAATAAATTTTCTTTTTCGTACATTTCATGATAACCATCAGTATAGATATATCAGTATATAACCATAAAGTATATACTTTTCTTTGCAATTTTAAAAAGAAACAGATTTTTTTAAGTTTCGACATATCTAAGGGCGCGATCCATTGCATGCTGCAGACGCTTCGAAGTCTAAGCACTTAAAGTTACTCATGCATTTTTTTTAAATCGCTTAAGACCGGGAATATAATAGGTGTAGTAGTAAGCTTTATACATTAAGAAATTAAACAATCCTAGTCGACTTTTACAAGAATAATCGAATGAGGTTTGCCAATTTCTTATGACTTAAAGCTTACTACTTATTGTGTTCCCGTGCTATTTTGACGTACTGTACTAGATGGAATGAATTCTTTTCATAAATCTTATGATAAAAATTGTAAAATATCGTTGTTTTCTTACAAATTAAAAAAAAATAAGAAAGAACTAATAATGTTATAAAGCTCTTATAAAAATCAATTTAATTCTAAATATAAACAGTATGCATATAAGAGCTGATTTTTCGCTAATTCGTCTTATGTAGGTTTAATGTAAAGAAACAATTAATACAAGTCTTCTATAAATATCATGTACGTTTAGGTCTTCGGTTCGGACCTTCTTCAGTGTAGAAAAAGAGTACAGAAAAGAATACAACATAAATGTCGCAAATTTCGCGTAAAATAAAGTAAGAAGTCAATGAAATCAAGAAGCTGTAGACCCCTTTATTATTGGACCGCCTCCATCCCTTATAGAAATATTATATTAAGAATCATTTATAATTACTTATTTTCAGTATTAAAAATACTGGATAATAAGTAATTATCAATGATTCTTAGTATGATATTTCTATAAGGAGTTTCAAAGGAACAACGTAACAACGTAACAACGGAACGTAACAACAATCACAATTAATACTGATACTGATACTGTTGTATAAGTAATCAAACTTTAACATACAACGTGCTCGCAAAATAGAGAGAATATTCTTTCTTTCTCCCTCGCAATATTTTGATGTCAAAATGATATTGGTGTTGTGAGGAATCTATTTTATGCCAATGTTGCAATAAAAATAAAAAAGTTTTCACACTATTTAATATATATTTTAATTACAATCATCTTTTGTATTGTTAGGAATAGCCCAAGTAAAACAATAGTCAAAATGATATTAATTTAATATTTTTTGACTGGTAATTGACATAAATTTGTTTAATGTTTGATCAAAATGACGTGAAATTGATATCATTTTGATTCTTATGTTCTACTTGGAAGCTATAATGCAATAGAGGTCGTACTGAAATTCAATAAAAAATTAAACGTAAAAATCTATTGCACATCCATAGTAGATGTACAGTGGACGTCCACGGATGGATGTTATATGGATGTCCATCATCGATGAATTATGGACGTCCATTAGAGATCCACTTGTCGTCCACCGTGGAGATAGATATCTGGTGA